TAATGATACGTGCAATCCTCTAGCCCCTAATCATTTATCCCATTGTTTTGTGATTATCTGCTGATGCATTCGTCTCCATTGTCAGCCCTGGAGAGATGACACTCTGTGTTACTCATCTTCATATCCCCAGGCCTGAGCACATGGCCTGCACTTGGCAGGCATTTACGTAGAGGCTGGCTGAAGGAAGAAATGAGTGCTGAGGGCATTGTCGGCATATCTAAAATTGAACGCCACCAACTTCCCTCTTTTGGATGTAGATTATGTTATTCATTCAGGCTTTCTAAATACCGATCTTTTTTTTTTTTTTTTAACTTTCTTTGGCCACCTTACAAACAATTTCCAAATCCTACTGAGTCTTCCTTTTACTTCCATTTACTCCCATCAACAGCCCTCTCACCATCACCCTTATGTCAGGTGCGCCTTATTTTATTTCTGAATAATCACCCCAAACACCCTCTGCCCCTTCCTCTTTCATGGCTTTCTTCAAGCTCTGCTTGACACTTTGAACCCCACCTCACCCCTAAGGTCAGCCATCTTTTCTTGCCTGTAGTTGAAATACCCCTCTCTGCTCTAAATCCTGGTAGCCTGGCTTTATCTCCTTTCTGATGATAGCTTGCATTTAATTGCTGTGCATCCCTACACTAGCACATCTAGTCTTGACGACATTCTTGTGAAGAATCTAATAAATAGCCTCCCCATTTTTCAGTTGGGAAAAATGAAGCTCACCAACATTAATTAACTTATCTAAGGTCACAGGACTAATTTGCTGTCTAACTTCAGATCTCTTTCTTCGACATCTTACTACCTCACCCCAAGTAAAACATCAGCTTCCAGAGAGGGGAAATCCTGCTGATACTTTGTTGCATCAGCAGACTCTCTTAGGTATATTACTTTGCAAATAATAAGCATTCAAATAGTGATGAGTTTTATCATCCTCTTTGTTCTTTAACAGGGAGAATGGAGGAGAGGATAACTGGGTAGAAAAAGAGCACCAAATCATCCTTTTTTTTTAACGGGAGAAATTGCCCTGTATCCTGGAGAATGAAGCAAAAGTCTCCAAGCTTGCAAAGTGTACAGAAACTCCCATCAATTTCCCATTTTTAAGTAAATTAAAGTTGAATTTGAAGACAACTGAGAATTTTTCTCTTTTCTTACACACATTGTCCCAGCACTCCAGAAATCTGTAGGCTTCAAAAAAATTACCTAGGTAAATATTAAAATGCTCACCACAATAAGGATACTAGAATAGCCAATGTCTATGTAACAACACTAGTCAATTTCAACGGACACTTTCATGACCAAGGCGTGAAAAAGGGAAGAGTTGTCAATGAGTCACCAAAGGCACATGTGCCATTTTTAGAGACTGAACAGGAAGAAAATGTCCACGTGTCTATGAGAGTTCAGGTCCCAGAGGCGGGACTGGCATGGTGAGCTCCTTCCTCTCGGAGGACTCAATGGGCATTTACAAAAACTTTTTTGCCAGCTGGTTCCGAAGCCAGTAGTGATTCAGGATGGTGTCAGTGCTCACAATATTTATATGCCAGTCCGTAATTATGTGCCATATCCACGTCATCTCTAGATGTTTTCAGAGTAGCTCGTCCTTCTACCTTTATGACTAAAATAAAACTTTAAAAATATGTATAATTCTCAAGCTGCAAGAAATCTAAGGGATTATTTAATTCAAACCTTTAATGTTATACCTCAGGCGACCCAGGGAAGTTAAGTGATTTCCAGAAGGACACAAAGCTTCTGATTTACAACCGTAAAGCCCACCACCAGACTTGTCCTGTATTTCCTAATGTAACTATTCTAGTCAGGGCCATGGGATGTTAATGTAGCGATTTAGTCATGTTAATATCTCAAGTCCAGCTACATTGCGAGTGTGAAATGAGTCCAGTAGATTCAAGCAAAAACACAGTGTTTTCTCACTTTCTGGGGACACACAGCTTGGTCTTGGAACGGGATTGGATGCCAGAGGGGCCTGGAATGTTCTTTCTCTTGCTCCTATCTTTTTTTTTTTAATTAAGATTTTATTTATTCATTTGTCAGAGGGACACACAGAGGCAGGCAGAAGGAGAAGCAGGCTCCCTGCCGGGCAAGGAGACCAATGAAGGACTCGATCCCAGGACCCTGGGATCATGACCTGAGCTGAAGGCAGGCACCTAACCGACTGAGCCACCCAGGCGCCCCTTCTGCTTTGGTTCTTGCTTCCTCTCCTGCTCCCTCACGGTCACACACTCACACCTGTCAGGGGCCACATGGCACAGAGGCCTCTCCTCTCTGCTCAGCCTCTATTATCTCTACAGCTCAGCCAAGCTTTCTCTTTCCCCAAAGGAACTGTGTTTTGGGCCCTGCCCATGCTAAGGGCTAACTGCTTATTATTTATGACCTCAATGAAACTTGAGAAGAACTTTGGGATAGAGGTACAAGAATTATAGTTATCTGTGTTTTGTAGATGAGGTTACAGAGGTATCGAGTGGCAAAGCTGTGGTGAGGAACCCTACCTGTCACAGCCTGAAAGTTGTGTGATCTTTGGCAAGTTATGTAAATGCCGTGACTCAGTTTCCTCATCTCTAAAATGGGATGATAGTAAGAGGGACCTCATAGTGTTGTTGTGAGTATTAAGGAGGTAACTAACCTACCGGTTTCCTAGACTACTGATGCCTATATTACACCATCACCATAGAGATGTGTTATTATTTGTATCTGCTATCTTATCCCCCAGCTGCGCTGGCTCTCTTATATATCTCGCACATGATACATGGTGGCCTGATCCCACATTTGTGACCTCTTTGATCAACCACCTTCCTTGGTTGAAACCCGTACTGCCCAGTATGGTAGCAACTCAGCGCCTTGAGCACTTGAAATGCGGCTGGTCTGGACTGAGGTGCGCTGGAAGTGTAACATACATGCTGGGCATCGAAGACTTCCTGCGCGAAAAGAAGGCAAAATACCTTGATAATACTTTTTTTGTGTGATTGCCTGTGAAATGACAATGTTCGTGATATATTGAGTTAGATCAATGTGTTATCAGAATAAGTTGCACTTGTTTCTTTACTTTTTAAAAAAATGCCAACGAGAAGAATTTAAATCACCTACATGGCTTGCATTATATTTCTATTGGCCAGTGCTGGTATAGAGACACCTTCTATGTTCTGCGTCCCAGGAGAGGCTATGGTTCAGCCCTGCCTGCGGAGAAGCTTGCTCGATATCAGGGGACTGCTCTGGGACAGTCAGCTCTGTGGAGGGACTGGTGCAGGGCCTGCTGCTGGCTCAGTGGAGGCTGGGGAGGGGGTGTGGTGGGTAATGGGGGCCATGGCTAGGATAAGCCGTCCTCCTGGTATCCAAGGAGAAGTATTACTTCTGGGGTGAGGGGCAGGATTATTATGGAGCCATTTGTGTTTGCTCTACCCCCCTACCCTCTCTAACCTGCTAGTTGGCTTTTCAGAACCCCCAGATCAGGCGAGTTAGGGCTGCAAAGCCAAAGCAAAAGTGTTGGTACATTACCCCTCCACCTGTGGTGGGTAGATTATGCCAGGTGACCAGGGAGGGGGAGGGAGAGCAAGGAGACTTTGGCCCTGAGACTAGGTAGGGAGTGGAGAAAGGTTAACCATGCTCCCCATAGCGACAGGAATCTGTGCCCCACTTGTGGCCACACCCGGGGGAGGGGGTGGCAGAACCTCAGACAGGAGAGGCCACATAGTGGCTGAAGACTTGAACCCTTCTTTGCTTGGAAACATCTGAACAAACAGCTTTCAAGTGACCACATCAGGTTAGAAAATTAGGATAATAGCAATGGAAGGCCCTCACCCTCATTTCCTAGGCCTCCCAGATTCCCTCACTACTTAACCGAAGATCAAGATTTCCTGTTCCTGGTAGGACTGAGGCTTAGAGGAGCCAGATTTAATCAGTTTGATTCCACTCTGCATGGAGGATACTGGAGTCCCAGGCCAAGGAAGCTCAGCCTTCTCTGGGGCTTGTAGGGTACAGTACCTCCTGTATACTTGCCCTAAAACAACATTACAGCAGTAAGACTGAAGCCTCTAAATGAGTGCTTTCCTTGTTAAGTCATTCACTTCATCAAGATTTCTGGAATGGAGACTAGACCTAACAGTCAGACCATTGCTCTCCCTGGAGCCCCCCACCCCCACTCTGATTCACCCCACACTGTCCATGCTAGAATTCTCTCTTGGGTACCCTACATTCAGTGAGTCACCAAACCCTACCGAGGCTACCTCCAGATGATCTCCTGAGTCCGTCCCTCTGGTCCCCCCACCATCACTGCTCACCCCCTCATTTCTTACTGGTCTGCAATGCAGCAGCCCCCTCCACAGCGCCTCATCTCTGTCCCTGGCTCTCTGGCTGTTTCCAGAACTGCCTTCACAGAATCCCAGCTGCGTGTCTTGTTCCACTGCTTAAACAGCCCCGGGAGCCCCTTTCTTTCCCACTGGATGTGCTTCGACCTCCTCACTCTGACATGCAAATCCCTTTGGAGTCTGGCTGCTTTCCTCCTCCCTTGAAGCCTTCTCTCCAGGCCCACCTCAAACATGTCAGGCCCTGTGCAGGACTCCAAGTTTCATAGGTGGAAAAATGAAAACAAGCAAATAGCACAAAAAGCCCTTCAAACAAGTTCTAAGAAAGGAGAGTGCCACAGAGAACTCTGAGGAATCAAATTCAGTTTGGGTTTTTGCTCTGTCGCCTTACTCCAACCCTAGCTTTTCTGAACCCTTTGGCTCAAATGATCTGTGTTCCTTGAAAAGTCCAGATTCTCAAGGTAGCTGACTGGTTGCTGCCCAGTCAATGGATCGCCTCGTCTCGGGTAAAGTGGCCATCGCTGACTAATTCATCAGGTGAGATGGGAGGTTGTCATATGGCACGTAGGGGCTCTTCCAAGGGCTGAGATCTGGGTAGATTCTCCAGAGCAGTACTTCCAAGAAGCAGAAATGAACTCCGTGGATCTCTGGGGGGGGGGGGGGGGGGGGGAGGGCTGAGAGTCTGCACTTACCTCTAACAAGCTCCTGGGTGATATTGATGCTGCTGGTCCACAGACCACACTTTGAACAGGGAGACTCTACTGGGACAATAGTCAGGACACAGAGTAAAAAGTATTCAATACCATCCTCTTATTCTAGAATGTTCTCCAGTCTTTATTGCCATAAAAATTCTGCTCAGTGTTTCAGGTACAGCTCAGATGTCACTTCTATGAAGGTTTTTGGGCTCTCCTGGAGTTAATCTCTTATAACTCCTTTATGATATCCCACTGATCATTTGCCTGATAGCTACTTGTGTATAGCTGTCACCTCCAGTTTTGTTTATTCTACCTACTTACTTATGTACAGTTTTTATTTATGTATGGTTTTGATGTGCAGTCTGAGTCTTAACAAGAATGTATAGATCCAGAAGAGTCGCATCACCCCCAAATTCCCTCGTGCTGCCCTTTGAAGTCCCTCCTTCCCACAACCCCAGCCTCTGGCAACCACTGACCTGTTTCTATTCATATACTTTTGTCTTTTTCAGAATGTTATATTAATAGAATCATACACCATGTAGCCAGGGATGACTTCTTCAGCTCCCATTGACTCAAGAAGCAGAGAACACTGAGATTTGTTTGATTCGGTCATTCTCACCTTGGGAGGGAAACCAAGATGAAGGCATCTGGCTCTTGTGAAGGATGCCAAAGCCAGTCATGGGCAAAACCAGTTCCGGTTCTCTCTAGTTCTTCACACAGGCTTGAACAGTGTTGGTGTGGAAACCATGTGTGAGTATGTGCATGAGGTCCTAGAGAAAACCAATGCGATTAAGGCTGGCTCTGGACTTTGAGGTACAGCTCCTGTGGATGCTGAGGATTAGCAGTAACAGCTGCTATCCTGCCCATTAGAGGAGAAGCAGAAGAGAGAACAAAATACTTGTTTAAAGGATGTATCTCTGCAACTCTGAGGGGGGAAGCCAGTCCATCAAGCCTGAAGGTAAGTGTGCTCCGAGGTAAGTGGATGTTTTCCTGGTTCTGGTAGACTAGGGCTGGTGGGAAAGCAGAAACCTCAAGATTTAAGGAGGGGAGGGTGGGATTTGTGGGGCGTGGCTCTTACCCCTCCCCCCTGTAGGTGTCTGTGTTTGATCTGATTTGGGGAGAGGAGACCAACTTCTGCCATCAACAAAGGCTCCAGGGACATTTCCTTGTGGTCCTTCTGGAAGAAAATGGAAAAGCCCTGGTTCCCCTCAGCTGAGAATGTGTTTTTACAGCTCAGTGTTCATTACCTCTGAATGTCCCTGGGAAACTGTAGGAATGTTCCCTTTTGGTGGAGAAGTTTTTGACTTTTTTTTACCTCATGGAAAACAAACCTAGCAGAGAGTTATTGTCTGAAGGACTCTTAGGTCCAAAAGATTGGAGTTATAGTTCACTCTGCTGTCTCCCTGTATCTGGTCAATGTAAGAGGCGGGGTGGTGGTGGGTGAAGACAAGATGCGGGTAGATGACATTGGATTATTTGGTTGCATGGATTATCTCCTTAGCCCATTGCTTTTATAGCTGCTTTCACTACATTTAAGGTATTTTATTTTTACCTTTTAAAACTAGCTTATTAGAGAGGAGGGTTGTTGTTGCCGTGCATTGCTCCTTAGATCAACATATTAACTGAACTTTGGAAAATTTTGTATATATAAAAATATAAAAAGGAACAACTCCTTTTAAAAAATTAGGACGTCCTAATGTCCCAAATGTTTGTTCAGAGGGCTTTCACCTGTCATATTTGCTGTCTCTCACATTATTCTCCTCTGAGAACTTCTTTTACACAGTCAACTTCTCATTCTTTCTGTCCGTGATATTAGAGCTAGCAAACAAAAGTGAAACTTAGTCTCTAAGTGTTATTTTATCCAATCATTTTATTCTATTCCTGAGCCCCGCCCCCCCGCCAGTAAATTTAACAAGGTGCACAACGGATGGGCTTGGGTGTAACTTTCTCTGCTCCTCTTCTCTGTGAAAAAGTAGTGAAGTAACTAAACAAGTCAGTAAGAGGAAGGACAAGAAAATACCAAAGTGTTGCAAATTTAACAATTGCTTCTAAGTAATTAATTCACAGTCGGCAGAAATTTTGTATCATTCAACTCTCTACTTTGCAATTGTAGCAATAAGACATTCATCCAAGCCACCATATGCCTTACTGCCTGCCCACATTGGAATATTGGGTGTCTCACTTCACCAATAATGTATTATAGCTCACACAGCCCTTGGATATCAGACAGCTTGTAAAGAGCCACGTTAGGATACAAATATTTTCTGGTCTTATTTCTTTGACTTAATTAAATCCTCTTTAAAAAGAAGCAGTCTGGTCTTATGAGAGAATTGTAAGATGAGAGGTTTTTTGGTTTTTTTTTTTTAAATGTTTAGAAATTGAAAGACTTCCTACAGTCTGGCACCTCTTTTTGATCTTGACCTTGAGCCCTTGCAATCTGGGGAGGCAGCAATAACGGTATCTCAGGTTTAAAGGCATTGTATGTTCAGATCAGCCAACATTCAAAAGGACGTAATATTGTTCTCTTAAACAGCATCTGGATTGAAGCTGTTGTTGTTTCTCGTGACACAGGAAAAGGGCAGGATGTGGGTCTCCGCCATCCTCAGAGGCTGGGCTTGTGCGGCCCTCTGCCTGGCTTCCTGCTCAGCTGCCTTTTCCCATGGTGCTGGCTTGGGGGCCTGTGAGGATATGCTGCCCAAGCACATTCAAGCCCAGCCTCGGGACCCACAGACCCACCACATCACCATTCACATCGGCAGGTCTTCCTACTCACCGGGTGACACAGTTCCAGGTATGTATGGGAGAGGCTTTGAAAGACGCCTCCCCCCCACCCCCCCGCCGGGCCCTATTGACAAATTCCAAGCTGTGTTTGTCCCAAGCAGCAGTTTCCTCCGTTAAAGTTTGACTTAATCCTAAGAAGCAGTTATTTAGCCCAAGATAAGCATGAAATATTTGTATCACGAGAACCACATAACTAATCTCTATATTGATATTCATTTTTACAAGAAGGCACAAATAGCATTTTATAAAAAATTATCTGTCCTTCTTATAAGATATAAATATAATTATCCTGAACAAACTTCATGTATTTTGTGTGTGTGTGTGTGTGTGTTTGTGTGTGTGTGTGTATGAACTAGGCTTTTGTTTCTCATTATTTAAAACTAAAGTTATTTGCAGAGTGAAGAGTATTTCCTGCTATTTTAGTTTGGGTGCCTGGAAAAGCAGAGAGAGAACTTGAGGGCAGGTAGTTTATTTGGGAGGTGATTCCAGGAAGTACAGACCCTCAACCACATCAGCTCGACCCCCTTTGGACTTTGCTAATTCTTTTGATGGCAGTTAGAGGTGATAAGTTCAAATAAAATTTACTCTGTCAATATCATTTCCCCAATCATTCTGTTCTGTTGCTAAGTGTGGGGAAAAGCTATGTGGGTATATATTAGCCCCCCCATATTAGCAGTATACTCCCCAAACTGAAATTCAGGCTATTCCAACAGAGCGTCCCAAATTTTGTCACATCACGATACAGCGAGGAAATGATAATATATGTAGGGCCTGCTGGGGCAAATGCAAGGAGGTCCTCAAAGCTGGAGGCAACTTCTCTGGGGGCACCAACTGCCACAGTACACACCCAGGCACCCCAGCATGACAGGATCAATATGTCAGCACCCCTGCGTTCTGTGGCTAAGGGAATGAAAATGGTAAAAATCGAAGCACTATATTTGGGAGAAAAAGCTATAAAAATGACCCAAAATATTGTGATACCCGAATTCTAATAAAAAACCTGAAGGAAGCATAATTGGATTGTGATTGGAACTAAGACAACATACATAATAAAGAGCTGGAGGGAGCACTTCGTGGATTCAGTGAGGGTCAGTTATTACTTTGTTGTGCTGGGATTACACTGTTTTCTTTTCTTTTCTTTTCTTTTCTGGGATATCACTAATTTGTGAGCTCCTTGAAGGTAAGGACGATATTATCCTGTTCATGGATGTATGCTCAATGCCTAGCACAATGCCCAGTTTGAAATAATAACTAAATACTTGTACAAATGTTTATTAATGAAAGTTCAAATGCGTGGAAAATAAAATGATCACAGACACTAAGCTGCATTTAGCAAGCCTATAAAGTTATGACCCTGGTTTTAGCTACTCATTTAATTACAAATGAGTTTGCCATTATTATTGATATCCGTAAGAAAAATTCCTGCAAGTGAAATTGCTAGATCAAAGGGAAACTGCATTTCTGGGCTTTTTTGGTATATATTAAAAATATGTATAAAAAATATATAACATAAAATTTGCCATTCTAATTGATGTATGCAATTCAGTGACATTAAGTACATTCACAATGTTGTACCCCATCACCATTATCCATTTCCAGAACTTTTTCTTTATCTCAAGCAGAAGCTCTGTACCCATTAAACAATAATCTCCATCCCTCTCTCCTCCCAGACCCTAGTAATCTCTATAATCTTTCTGTCTTTATGATAACTTACCTGCTCTAGGTACTGCATGTAAGTGGAATTGTGCAATATGTCATTTTATATTCAGCTAATTTCACTTACTGTAATGTTTTCTAGGTCCTTCCATGTTGTAGCATGTATCAGAAGTAACTGCATTTTTAAATATGGAAAATATTATTAGGTTACCCCCTCAAAGAGTTGCATGGTTTATAGTTCTAGCCCTAGTAAATGCATGTCCAGTTTTTGCACAGGGCTATCAATACTGGTTATAATTTCACATTTTAAAATTTGTTAATATGATAGGTATACTGTCCCATACTTGTTTTTTAAATCATGATTTTTTTATTTCAAGTTTTTATTTAAACTCTAGTTAGTTAACATATGGTAAAATTGGTTTCAGGTGTAGAATTTAGTGATTCATCACTTACATATAACACTCAGTGCTCATCACAAGGGCCCTCCTTAATAAATCATGATTGACCTTATTTTATTTTCTGTTTGTGTCCTTTGATAATTTTGGGTTGGTCACTTTTTATTGATTCACCATTACTCTTTGTGTATTTGTCTGTTTTGTATCTTTACAAATACTTTTCTCAGTTTATAATTTGTCTTTGGATTTCTTCTATATTCACATATTTTTAAATCATCCTTTTCTTTTGGCAATTGGGTTTTTCTTAGAAAGGCATTCTGAACTACCATATTTTTTTATTTTATTTTTTTTGAACTACCATATTTTTTAAAAACCATGTTTTTCCTAGTTTTTTTTTTTTTTTTGAATTTCATTTTGACATGACTTTGATCTAAATGGAATTTACTTTGGGTGTGAAATAGCACTTCAACTATTTTTTCCCCTAATTAATTTTTTACTTTCTGGGTGCTGGTCTAAGCTTTTAGTTTTGAAAATACCCATATAAGATCACCAAATGGAACCACATCAAGAGGGCTCACCTCGAATGGATGTTTTCTGTTGCAGTGACCATGAGGAGCATTCGAGATTTCATGGGATTTCTACCTCAGGCTCGAAGAGTGTCTGATCATCAAACAGCTGGCACTTTTGTTTTCATTCCTCCTCATTCCAAAGCAATAGCTTGTTTTCAAGAGGCTGATACAGTCACCCACTCTAACAAGTCCCGGAAGAGAAACCTGTCCTTCGAGTGGAAGGCCCCTGCTCAACCTGTGGGGGACATCACATTCCTGTAAGAGCTAGGGCAGTGCTGCTTCCTGGTAATGGAGCCTTACACTCTGAAGAGAAGGAGCTTCTCCTCTCCCTTCCTGCATGCTTCAGCCCCTACCTCCAGCTACCTCATGACAAAGACAGAGTCCCAAGACTGCCCCAATGAGACAGTCTATGAAGAGGGTAACCAAAAAAGAAGTTGCCCCCAGCTTCCCTCCTTGTCATTATCCACAGTTCAGGGGTACATGACTTCCCCTCCTCTCTGGGCACAGATGCATCTTGACCAACCTCTCCAGGAAATTCTGGCCAGAGGAAAAAGAAGGACCATAGGGAAAACTGAGAAAGACAGAGGCTGAGGCAGACAGAAAAGCAGACAATTTCTTGGGCCGAGCGAAAGCCCCTGAGGTCTCTGTGCCTTGGCTTGTGGTCTCTCAGATGGCCAATGACTTAACCAACTGAGCCACCCAGGAACCCCTAAATTAATCACATTTTTATAACTGCCTTCTGAATATTTAAGCTGGGAAAAATGATTCTAGCTGATAATCCCTACCTCAGTGAAATTTGGGGGAGGATAAAGGAGATAATGTTTGTGAAAGGGATTTTTACTAAAGAAAGCCATTAAGTACTCAAAATACCAGTTAGAGTACCAACACTTGATCTCCAATTTTCAATGGAGCCTACAATTACAACAGAGCTGTACAATTGTACAATAGAATTATGAAATTTTCAATTAACAGAGTCATTCAATTAACAACCTACCAGTAATGGCTAATAATAAAGTTGAAGACGGAACCTTTTGAGACTGAACAGTTCAAGAAGATACCTTTTAGTCAAAATGAGGTTTTCTAATGACTGTATTTATTTAGGAGGGGAATTTAGACATATCCTTCCCTGTTTTAATTATTTGCCACAGTTGAGTTTTGGTTTCTAAAGAGAGTGGAATCACCCCAAGGGCAATACGATCATCTCTTCAGTTTTTCTGTTCATGTAGCCTTTTGTTCTTCTTCAGGTGTTATTTAAGGGAAACCAAACTCTCGCATCATTTTGCTTTCTTTTTCCACAGTTTGTCAGTTGTCCAGTCATATTTTGTCATATTACTGGGAGAGCATTGAATCATCTGGTGTGTCTCAACAGACACACTGTGGAGCCCACGCTGATGGCGGCGAGCAACCCGGCTCACCGATGCCAACCTCTGGCTGGAGGCGGGAGGGAACCACCCCAGGTGCGGCTTGCTGTGGGACTCAAGAGCCTGGTTGGCATCATTATGGGAGGGAGAGGGAGAAGCAAGCTTCCCGCTGAGCAGGGAGCCCCATGCGGGACTCGATGCCAGGACCCCGGGATCATGACCTGAGCCAAAGGCAGACACCTAGCCGACTGAGCCACCCAGGAGCCCCTAAGCCAATCACATTTTTATAACTGCCTTCTGAATACTTACACTGGGAAAAATGTTATTTTCCCTTAGAAGTTCCCTTAGAAGCTGGTTCCAGTTCCTGCAACACAAGCACTAAACACCTGCTTTGGCCGGCCGCAGCAGCTCACGGCCAAGGGCAGGAGGGGATGCTTGCCATTGCTGTTTGTCTGCTTCAACCTCACAAATTATGGGGGTGCCCTGGGGTGGAGAGTTGGATTCTGTCACAAATCCAAACAACAGCAACCACCCCCACCCCACTCCCACACTTACCAGTCATCACAACGCCTCAGCAGGGTTCTTCAGACCCCTGGAGCTCCACGCGGAGCACAAGAAAGAGATGATCTTTTCTTCTTTGTATATAAAAACTCGTCTAGCTTTCATTGTTACTTTCCATGGTAGGTAGATGGCTCTCTGCAGCCTGGGTTGGAGAAAGGAATCAGGAATGAGAGGCTGTTTTGATGGCAATGGAGTTTTTCCTGGTTCACTACATAACCTGAGACTCCTTTGGTCCGTGAACTTCTGCAACAAAACATAAGAGAACACAGTGAGAATACAGCTACAGAATACAGTGGTCACCTGAAAATTCCTGGGGATATGGAACTCATTTCCATTATTGATCTCTATTTAAGTGCTCTGAACGAATGCACTCATAGAGGTCACCTGCACAGAAGCTCCCATCTTTAATCCTTTCAATTCCACTTTCCTTGACTCTGTCCTTTGCTCTTGGCCAACATACTAAGGCCCGACTTGGCTCAGTCTAGCAGACCCAGGCACAGAGCTTACCCTGGGCCACTCTCCCTACTCTGCCCGTGCCCCGAACGGTCTTCTCCCCACTGCCCAGCACCACTCCCCCAACCTTCCCACCAAGATACTCCTAAAAGCAGAGTCAAGACCTCAGGGTCTGACAGTGTGGCCTGGAGAAGACCCTGCAAACCCAACGGTGTTTCAAGTCTCATGTTTTATTTTCTTAATCATGCAAATGGTGCATCTTAATCCCAAGCATGTTTGTTTTAATATGAATATGACTAAAAGTGGGGTGTCAGGAAGTGACATCATGTTGTCCCTGCAGTCTATCTTGGGACCCTGCTGGGAACCTTGTCCCCCACGGGGTGACAGACTCCTGTCTGGGAAGCTCCAGGGTAAACTCCTCATGATGCTGCTGTCCACATTCCTGCCCTCCTGGCCCAGGCTGTCTTCCTGCCCATTCCTCTGCACAAACCTCAGGGTTTCTCAAACAAAAAAGGAGTATGTGTGTACATGTGCATTGTGATGGCAGGGGGATCGGGGAGGGAGGGGAGGAGAAGATGTCATCTAGCAAAGTGAAATAGATTTCTTAAGTGTAAAAAGACCGCAGTGGGCAAATTTTGAATTGTGAATTTTCACATTAGGCAGATAGTATATTGTACTTCTCAAACTTATTTCCCAATAGACACGTTGGGGTCTACCCAACCCCATTAGTCATGATCTCCATGTTCTGCCTTCTGACACGTCCTCAAAGTGGACTATTCCTCCTGATGATCTATTTATCTTTCAAGGGGAGGTTCCAATATCTCCTTTGTGAAACTTTCCCCCATACTTCTTGGGAGGCAAATGCATTTGCCTTCTCAGTTCTGGATTTAAAGCTCTCATCACACTGTCATCTGTAAGGTTGGGCATCTAAGAGTCTCTCCTCCTAGATTTCGAGTTCAGGAACAACAAACGGCCACTACGCAGCCCTTCTGCATCCCCAGCATTCACAGAAATGCCCATCAAACAACGAGTCTGCGGGGAATGGCCGAATGCATTTTCAGTTCGGGCGGGAGTTTAAGACTGTTGAGCTTTTGCCACATTCTGTGTGTACGTTAGGCTTCTTTGTTTTTCAACCTCAATGTTTCTGAGTGACGAAGGCTTTGGAGAAGAGTGACAGTAAAAGAAAAAAAAAATGCATTCCAACCCAGTTAGAGCCCTGGTCAGAGAAACCTCCACTAATGTGTTTTTCTGCAAACACCATCATTGTCATCCTAAGTGTTATCACCCTCATTGCATGTTCACCTGTGCCAGCCACTGTGCTCCATGCTTCTACACCAGTGATTTTATTTCACCCTTCAGCAGCTCTAGGCTGTAGGAACCATTACTGGTCCCATTTTGGAAAAGAAGAAACTGATGCTCTGGGAGGACTTGCCCCAAACCAGGAGTTAGCGGAATGGAGAGTTGAACCCAGACAGTCATCTGACTCCAAAACTGGTGCTTGCTTGTTTGCTGCGCTGTTTCTAATTTCTATTTCTAAAGCTCTGGGCTGTCATGTTGGCCAGTCACGGATGGGAAATGAGATGGTGGAGGGCAGTGGAGGGTGGTGATCTTGACTCTGCCTATGGCAGAGGCTCAAGTCATTATCATCACCAGGGAGACTTTTACTGTTAATAATATGGCAGGAAAGATCTAGGACTTTCAAAAATCTTTGATTTGTGGGATACTGATTTTGTTTTGTTTTGTTTTTCTAGCTAGAAGCAGTTTTTGGCAGAGGTAAGTAAAAAACATAGTGGTCACAAGGGTTTCTATACTCCCCTGAGTAGTGACTGTTAAGAATGCACAAGTCCAGAGGGTCAGAGACTTACTATTTACAAAGATGTTAGAAATCGAGTCCTTTGCCACTTGGTCAGGGGCTTATCTTACTGGGCAGATCATCTTTTTGTTGATACTTTTGAGTAACCCGAACTTAATGGTTTGTCCTAAAGGCACATTAAAGTCTCTAATATTTATCCCATTACCATAGTTGTTTGTGCTAAGCAATACAAGGAAAATGCTCTCACTCTCTTTTGTGGTGTCTTTGGATCTCCGTTTAGCTCCCAGTCCCCCCAGCGCTCTTCCCCAGCAGTGTGTGAACATCTTTGCTCTTGCCCCAACTGGAGCTGCAGAGGAGAACAGCTTAGATCCCTTTTCTGCAAGTTTTTGGGTGACAGAGTTTTCTGGGGATGCAGAGACTCTGTTCCAATCATCTTCACACACGGCTACTGCAGTCAGCAACGGCCAGCAACCCAGAGGGGACAGCAACCCAATCCTAGAACTATCCCTGGATATCCGTGGGCTGGAGAGATTCATGGCTCTCAGGAGATTCTTCCCAGAGGGCATTGCTTCCAGCCCTAGAACCCACCTCAGGTAATGGGTCAGGGGTAGACCATTCAGTATGGTGGTGGGATAAGGCCAAACCCTGGGGTGCTGAGGGAATCTAAACTTCTTGGCATCTGACAGCAAATGATCTCACCGTATTTATTCTGAATTGCACAAGAAACCCTGATTGTAGAAGGGCTACTGGCCAAAAGGGCTGGGTATGAAAATCACCTGGGGAAACTGTACTTTCTTGAATAGGGTGAGATCTCTGATATGCTGGTATAAATAAAATCAGATATAAATATATGTTTTATAGAGGGGCACCTGGTTGGCTCAGTCATTAAGTGTCTGCCTTCAGCTCAGGTCGTGATCTCAGGGTCCTGAGTTCAAGCCCTGCATCAGGCTCTCTGCTCAGCAGAGAGCCTGCTTCTCCCTCTCCCACTCCCCCTTGCTTGTGTTCCCTCTCTCGCTGTGTCTCTCTCTGTCAAATAAATAAAAATCTAAAAAAAAGTTTTATAGAAGAGATGTGTAAGTTTATAATATATAAATACATATTTTATATAAAATGAATAAAAGCATTCAGTGAGGCTTTGTTGCTATCCTCACTTGCCTCTTCCCACCCTCTATCCCTTTTCCCTTCAGCTCCTAACTCCAAACTCAGGAGTCTTTCCAAAGAAATCTGCTTTTGTCAGAACACACAGCAATGGTAGGAAATGTTGCTTTTTGATCTGTATTCTCTTCGCCCTTCTATCCTTCCCTTTAGGACTCAGGATGATCCAAGCTTTGATTCCTTGGAAACTTGCCTACCCTCAGATAGGGATGAACAAGTAACAACCCTGGTTGTACGTGGGTGATGGGGTTGATATTTTGATCCCAGTGTGGGAAGTTCCAGGCTGGGGAAGCAGAGCTATTAGACTAGTAACCAAAATTTGAGAGCAGGAGGCAAGGGTATAATATACACACAGCATCTTTTTATCAATCAATACCAGCCTTTCTGTTATACACAGTGTCTCTGAAGTTATTGACAATTGTAGAAATTGATAGTTTCAGTGATTTGTTTTCCCACTTAGCCTCAGTCAATAATTCCTGTCTCCCCACCTCTCTGCCCTTCTTTATAACATTGGCCTCAAAACACCATGTATGGTTCCAGAGGTTAGATCAATGGGCAATATAAAATATACATGCCCACTGATTTACAATTCCTTTGAAGTCTTAAAAGGAACACAAAATAAAACATGGTATAATATTCTTACTCAAATTTATTGGAACCTACAGTGAGATTAAATGCCCTCTTGCATGGGTCCTAGCATAAAAAGACATTCAAAGCTTTCTGCCCTTGGAGATGATAATCATGCATCTTGGTCTGGAAGCCTCTTAAAGGACCTTAGGTTTATTCTTGTAACTGGCCTCCACACTCTCTTTGTGGGATTTCCATTAGCCACCTCATCCCCATCAATCACAAGAGCATATCTATCTACTTGGGCATTTTACTCTGAGCTCTTTCAGGAGCAGGCACAAGGCTGGGTTTTCAGCTGCTGCCTGGGATTCTTTAAGAAACACAGGTTAAGTGTAAAGTTCAGTGGCAGCTTGGAAGAAGACCAGGTCCTTTGACATTTTTTTTCTCCCCCTTTGCTTTTCTAGGACAAAATGGAGTCCTCTAATAGGACCATGATGAGGCCCTCTCTGTCCACTGCCCATCGGCACCTCTGGTCATCTGAAGCACTCACTGGGAATGGGGCTGGGGCAGCCACTCCAACCCCTGTCTTCCACACCTCTGCCACTTCTGGGTCACCTGCTGCTGGCGGGCAATCAGAAGCATCGAGGCCTTCTGCCAGCTTCTTACCTCAGTCAAAGCACAAGGAGGCCAGAGTGCGAGAGGAACATGGAGGGGGCAGATTGGGATACCCCAGGAAGACCAATCGAAGGCCTGAGGTTGGGCAACAGGGAGCCAGTGCCCCTTCAGGGATCCAGCTCAGGAGTCCCCAGCTGGGAATCCTGCTTTGTCTTTCTGCCACCTTGGGCATGGCCCTGGCTGCTGGCCTCTGCTGTCTACACACCCAGTATTGCCACAGGTGGACAGAAGTGTCCTTCAGTGAGCCTGCTGGGGATGCTGTTGCCAGGAGCGATGGTGGTGAGACAGTCCGTGTCAGGAAGATAAGGGAGAACAGTTTTGTTTTGGTTGAAGCAGAATACAACTGGCCCCCTTCCTCTGTGGATAACGAGAAAACAGTCCTCTGAGCAGACCATCGTCCTAGGCCTCCGAGTGGCCCTCCTCAGACCCTGCAGTTCCTCAGCCAGAACAGAGCTAATGAGAATAGCTGATGAGGACAGGGACTCGCAGTGGCCCCCGTCAGTGAGCAGTTATTCGAGGCAGCTGCGAAAGGACAGTTTTATCAACAGAGGGAGTTCTTCCCGAGCTTTGTTGTCTTAACATCTGTAATTTAGCTGCTTTTTTTTTTCTATTCACAATTAGACGTTCTGTTTGAAGAGTTAAACTCAACACAATGAATATTGTATAACCTGCTCATTAACTAGACTCCTGTGGCCACCGAGCTTCCTCTGTTGCCTTAAGGAACCTGCAGAAATAGAAATTCTGTCCCTCCTCAGTATGTCAGCCTCATCCTTTGAAAAAAAGTAATGTTGGGGTTGTGTCTCTTACAAGAAACGGAACTGCAGCCCTCGCTTTACCTCTCCAAACCACCCCAGAAGAAGTTTCATTTTCAAAACTAGCTTTCCAAACTGGCTCTGCTTCAGCTGACTAGGTGAATGCAAGGGTATTCAGTCTTCTTGGAAACTCAGAAGCCTGGCAAATCTGCCTCAGAAATTGATCTGAAGTGAGGAGAGTTTTAGAGAGCTTGATTGAACATATCTGTGGGGAACCGTGTGCGTGGCACATAAACACCAGAGTGGGGTAAGCAAGGCTCTTCATCAGGTGCAAATGGATCTGAGACCTCCCATCCATTTACACTTGATGGGAAGCTTATGTATCCTAATAGCCAGCAAACATATTGCCTTTTGCCAAAGGTCAGGCTGGAAAAAATGATGATACCACACAGTTTGAAGAAGAGCCTCTAATCTTTTTAGGGAGAAAGCATCATGGACAAAGACAGCATCATGGACAAAGACCATCTTTCTGCTCTTGCGATTTATGAAGATCACTTTGATTTAGCCAGGTGTCCCATAGACGTTATGTAGGGCCAAGACAACAGGTTTGAATATAGCTTTTGAATATGCTGACCTAATATGACACATAGAAATTAGCTGCCTTTTCAGGGGTAAACCTGTTACAGAGTCACAAAACATTTTTATGTGGAAACGAAAAACCACTATAAATTTGGAAAGGGTGTTTATTTATCAAGCACCTAAATCACACAGGTACTGTGCTAAGAACTTTGCATACATTTTCACATTTAACTCTCACAATAACTTAATGAAGAATAAGTTCAGTAACTTGCCCAAGAGAGGGGGGCATTCATGACATCTCAATTCAACAACAAAAACATTTTTTAGAAAACTGGGCGTATGGGAAAGAGATAGATACCGCTGTTTTTCCAGCCTCTTTTAGCTCATAGGGCACTAATTCCAAGATTGTTTCCTCCTTGATTCTGGGCTAGGCAGATCTGCCCCCTGGCTTCAGTCAAGAGCCTCATTAGGAATATGGAGACCTAGGTAATTGTGTGTTCACACATGAAAGTGTTCTAGGAATACTGTGGAAATAAATGAATGTACTATACTCCACTGGTGGCCAGAGATAACCCTTCTACATATCCCCTCGCCCCAAGGACATCCTCTCCGAGATGTAGACAAGGAACCCCGCCAGTGGAGAGCTTTCCTCTGGCCATGATCCTCTGGCCAGTAATGAAAAATTGTTTCACAATTGTCTGTGAAATAAACTACACCCAACACAGTTTGTTGTCTTTCACAGGTTCAGGTTGCCTGGGCTCCGCTGGGTAGTTCTTCTGCTCTATGTACTGTTCAGTGGGCTGACTTGCTCACGTGGCTGGCAGTCGGTGCTGACTTCTGGCTGGGGCTCACCCGGGGCTGTCGATGAGTGTGGGCAGCAATTTGTTCCTTCTCTTCATGGCTTCTTATAGCACTGTTCCCAGAGGGGTGTTCCAAGCAGACAAAACCAGAAGCTGGGGGGCTCTTCAGGCCTAGCCTTGTAAGTAACATGGTTTCACTTCTGCCACTTTCCAGTGGTTACAGGGAGTCATGGGCCAGCCCTCTGTCTTCAAAGGGAAGGGCAATGGATTATGCTTTCGGATGGGAGAAGTGGCAAAGGATTTGAAGCTATCTTTAATTCACCACCTCACCTCTCTGGTTAGACTGCCAGCATGCCGAGGGGCTTCTGTGAGTGTAGAAGGAGGGGCTGTTCATCTCCAGAAGGAGCCCTGGGTCACCTTCCCTGCAAGGCATCGAAGGGGGTGAGGGAAATCTCAGGGTCAGGTGCTTCCTCTTCTCCGGCTCCCTGGGCAAAATAGTGAAGTGTGGCAGAAGAGTCAGTCAGACCTCTGAGTCTCCACTTCCTCATCAGAGAAAAACAGAATTCTTTACCTCTTTCAGTTGTCAGGCAGAGTAAATGCGCATTCAACCTTTAGCCAGCTATGACTAACTACTTAATGTCACCTTGCAGCTGCAACACTATCTTTAAATCTAGTCCATTTAGACTCCGTGACCACCGAAAACGTTATTCCCTTTCCAGGACACCTTCTCCCCTGTGGCCCCCCTCCCCCACCCAGCGAATGGAGGTGGTCCCGGTGCAAGTTGTCGTCGTGGCCACTGGCTACAATTCCTGCTGGGGGTCAGACGTTTTTGCTGAGACTTTCTGAAGAAACTCTTCTTTGGCAGGGGCAGTGGAGTCCATAGACCTGCAGTCATGAGACACAAAACCCCTCTGTTACTGTGAACTTGAAGGTCCTCTAAGCCTGGCTTCAGAGAAGCCCCAGAGGGGAGCCAGTATGAAGTGTTAACCTGAAGGCATTTACTAAAGCACAAAGCCATTACAAGTGAAAAAAAAAAAAAAAGGCAAAGGACTCAAATGCAACATCTTAACATAGCTTTTTTGTTTTGTAGGAACAGCTTCTGGTTTTTCGGCCAGCCACTTCTTCGAGAAAGGGGGTTTGGGCTAAATACACATTTAAGGGAAAAGAACAGAAGAACAATTGCTGAAAACTATATTTTCAAAACTCTTTATATTTCAAACAAATCAATTGTGTTAATAACCACAGATCGAGAGTAGGGGTGAGCCTCAACCTTTATACATTGAGAGGCTCTTTCTGATTTTTCTAATTGATTTCTCCCCTTGGGTACAACACTTTTGCTAACTCACAATTTAATGCTCGACTATAGCCTTGCTGAGCTATCCCACTGTTGAGGCTGTCTGGTTTTAATTTGTTGTGACAATGTTTGTTTCCTTTAAAAAAAATCTAATTAACAACAACGACGAAAAACATGGATCAACAAACAAGTAAATATTTAAACAAGTGTCATGTTTTATTTGAAAAGTTGTCTGGAGATGGCTGGCAATTTATGAATAAATTACAGATATACCCTCTCCCATTCTTGGACTTCGGGCATTTATCAGTGATCCCAGCTCTTCTGGAATACAGGCTCTGTGATTTGATTTCATTCCACCCCAACCTATCCCCTTCTTCTAAAATGGTGTGTGGCAAGGAATTTCTTTTACTCAAAGTGAAATAAATTTGCATTCCTTGTTTTATTAAACTGGAGAGCATCTTCAGAAGAACTTTACTCCATCTGCAGGTGGAGGGCCTTAGGGGGTTGCAAAACCAAGAACAGTCGCCTCTGGTTTAGAATATCAGGAGGGCCTTTATGATAAGAGGACGTCTGAAGTCTCGTTTGTGATTCTGTTCTTTACATGCAGAAAGAAAATGTGAACATTTTGAGACCCCGTTCCGTTGACAGTTGGGTTGGAGCTGCCAGGCTTACTGAGGTCTGGAGTCAGATGTTTTCTTGGTGCCTTTTTGCTTTGAAAACATAAATCCGTTTAGGCCGCAGGGTCTCTGAGTTGTCGAGTGGCTTTCCATCGCTCTCAGAATGAAGTGTGAACATCTGATTGACTGACAGGGAGACCCGCCACGCCCCCCGCCCCGCCCCCCGCCCCGCCCACCTCCTTCCTGGCTCCTCGCTTCCGCGGCGCCGTTCTGCGCGCTCCCTGAGCGCGGTACCGCTCGGTTCCCAGCTCCCTTGCTCTGGCTGTTCTTGTTGTCTGGAACCCCGTCCCCTCAGACATCCACAAGCCTTCTGAGGTTTGTTCCAGTGTTGCCTTATCAGAGAGGCTCTCCCGGCCATTACAATCTCTTCTCACTCTCTATGCCCGTGCCAGCTTTAGAATATTTATGGTACTTATCACCTCCTGCGTCTTAGGTATTTATTTGTGTGTTTATTTTCTGCCTCCACCAGACTAGGATGCTTTATAAGGGCAGAGACTTTGTTTTTCTCATTGCTATTCCCCTGGCACCTAGAGTTGTTCTTCATACATAGTAAGTAATCAATAAATGTTTGCTAAATGAGTGAATGAAAAGTTCAAGATTCGTGTTACTCTCCCCAGGCCTTGGTCTGGGCTGAAGTTGACTATGGAGTGCCTGGGGCAGGCCTAGGGTGCATGGGCATCAGGAGATGCAGGTTGCTGTCTAGAGGTGAGCTAGAGCTCTGTGGGCCACAGTCTCCAGGGCAGGGAATGTCCTGTGTCTCAGATCCAAGACTCAGGAAGTTCTTGGCAGGGAGAAGCTGAGAACAGACTTAACCTCCCAATCTGAGCCAGGGCAGGAGGAAAGCTGAGTAGAGTCTTTCCAAGAGGCTCACCTGTGGGCACACTTGGCTCGGTTTAGATAGTCTGGCACACGGATTCTTAGCCTCCATCACGCTCCACATTTTGGGCTGGATAATCCTTTGTTGTGGGGGGTTGCCATGTGCTTTGTGGGATGGTTAGCAGCATCCCGGGCTTCTAGCCACTAGATGACAGTAGCTCCCTCCTCCCCAGTTGTGGCAACCAGACGTGTCCCCAGACATTGTCCAATGTCCCCTGGAGACCCAAACTGCCGCCACTTGGGGACTGCTGGTGAGTTGCAAATGCAGGCCCAAGGATGAAGCAGCCTTTTCCTAAATCATTTCCACATTCAGCGATGGAGTGGGCAGTATCGAGATAGAGAAACATAGGGTTCAAAAATTAGGAATGGTTTTAAAGGTCATCTGACTCCGTGGTTTTGAACTTCTAACTTTGCTTAATTAGATAGAACAATAAAAGCTGGATACTCTCCTTAATGTTGCATCTTCCCTTCTTCCTTCCCTCCCCCTTTCTCCCTTTCCCCTCACCTTGAGGCACTGCCCCGGATATTTAACCAATAAGCCTGGCTAAAACTCATTAAAAACATCTCCTTTTTATAGGTGAGGAGAAGAACAAGGCTGCTGAGAGCTCACAGTGAAAGAACAAATTAGTCTAGGGCCGTCCTTGGACTCCTTCCTTCCATCCTGACTTCTAACCCACTTTTCTCTCCAACACACTTGGCAGATCATTTGTTTTCTTGGAGCATGTTGGGTGCTGTAAATATTTCAATGGACCCAGAGAGACCCTGGAATCAAGCAGAAAAATGCCTGGAATGATTAATCTGCATCTGCCATTAGAACCAGGAGGACCATGGGACGTGGGGACTGGTCACTTATGGTGGGCTGGGCCAAGGTCTGACCTGCTGGGCAGGGATAAGGCCCCAGCCCAGGCTAGGGGGAGAAGACAAAGGCAAAAGGAACCCATGGGCCCACATGGCGAAGGTGCTGGCCGTCATTATCCCACTACTGAGAGGCACCACTAGAAGCTGTGTCTCTGGTTTACAGCCACCATCTTGAACCTACTGCCCTCTTTCCTTTGGTCTCTGCTTTTCCTTCCTTCAAATGGCACGTGGGGAGGATCTTCATCCATCCGCTGATGATGGACGGTTTCTGCAAAGTGTTTTGTTACTTTATGGAGGAAAGAGGCTGCCTGGAAATACATTCCACTGGATATTAAAGAATGTATTTTCCTGATTTATAGTCAGGCTAGGCAAGGCTGTCTGAGAGGCAAGGAACCAATGGGAATATCCATTTTGACTAATGATTATTCTATCTAAAGCGAAGTTTTCCTATCAACTGATAGGCTGGAAAAATAGACTACAGCTTGCTAGGTGAGCACCACGGGTCACAGATGTTGCCTCTGCATTTTCAGATTATATTATCCATTACAGGCAGTACCTTCTCATTTAGAAACCTAATTTGTTGTTCTCTCAGACAGACAGAAAGAAAGAAAGAAAGAAAGAAAGAAAGAAGAAAGAAAGAAAGAAAGAAAGAAAGAAAAGAAAGAGAGAAAAAGAAAGAAAGAAAGAAAGAAAGAAAAAAAAAAAAAAAAAAAGAAAGAAAGAGAAAGAAAGAAAGAAAGAAAGAAAGAAAGAAAAAGAAAGAAAGAAAGAAAGAAAGAAAGAAAGAAAAGAAAAAAAAGGCTGACATTTCACATGCAAGCCAAAGATTAGAATCACTGCACAGGACCGCATATGGAAGTACATTAGGATGCAGTGTCCCTGAATCAAGGACACAAGGCGGCCTGGTGCTGAGAGAGATGTAGTAGGCAGTGACTTCTGATCTTTATTATGCAAATGTGCGGCCTCAAGAGCCAGGCTGTTTAACCTCATCAGGGGAAATGTCACTGATCATTTCAAGCTCCAAATGTAGCACAAGCATTAGTACTATTATGTTATTATTATTATTATTATTTGCAGGGCATTATGTAAGCCTGAGCCCTCTGATTAAGCTCAGCCCCTACTCGGCCAGACCCTCTGGGGTTGCAAATCAACTCCTCCGGGTATTAAAAAACAAACAGACAGGCAAACCTGTTTTCCTCTCTCTTTAATGTTTGTGGAGGGGGCACTTTCCAGACCTGGTGGCATGGGTGGAGATGGAGGAGGATCACAAGGTCCAATTTCCAGCCCCACATGTTTGATGACAGGCCACCTCCTCTCTGCTGCAGGTCGCATGCTCCCGTGGCAGAGGTGTGGAGATGAAGCTTAAGCAGAGCATGGCACTGGGGCAGGAGAAGGGATCGCTCAGGGGGTGGGAATGGTGAGGAGGACTGGAGAGAGAGAGAGCGAGAGAGAGAGAGAGATGCTGCATGAGATTAGAGAGGGAGGGACCGAGGAGAGGCTCTTATCTCCAGCACAGGAATCACTGCTACCTTCCAGAACCATCAGGAACACTGAAGGCAACCGGATCTAAGAGGTGGAGACAAAAAGAACTTGGGACCAAGCAAAAAAGAAATGGAAGTCCAGGAGAAACGGAAAAACCAGCAGCAGTGATGAGTTGGCCCAGGGTGACAAAAGGCAGAGGAAAGACACAGTTGCCCATCTCCAACATTCAGGTTTCAGGACCTGAGCTGGTAGAGTCTCGGCTTCCAGAAGAAAAGACACCTGATGCAGGGAGCTAAGAGACACAGCCATAGTGAAATTCTGGAGGAAGCAAAAAGCAAGTTGTGCGTTTCCCCTTTTCCTCCCACAGCCTGGTGCAAGGGAAAAGGTCCAACTTGAATAAGTAAATATTAATAAGTAACTTCAATAAGTAATAAGGAGGGAGATTGGCTCACTGCATAATTGGAAAGACTAGAAGCTTCTCCGTAGACCTTTGGAGTTGCTCTCATCTAGCCCTAAATCCTTTAGCTATGAACACTGACATCGGGATCCCAAGCCAATTAAATCTGACTTCTTGGGAGTGGGGCCGATGTCCATAGTTATTAAAGCTTTCCAGGTGATTTGAATGCGCTGCCATGGCTGAGAACTGCTGTTTTAGGTTCTGAAGAATATAAACTCCATAAAGGCAGGGATTCTTGCATATTCGTTTTCTGCTATATCCTCTAGCATCTAGCACAGTGCCTGGCACATAGCAGAACTTGAATATAGATTCAGTGCACGAACAGGTTATGGGTGAAACAAGGCATTTCTGCAAAAGAAACAAGTCTGTATGTCCGAGGCCATTCAAGAGATCTGTGGAGGGAGTTACCTCCCA